AGTTTTGGATGCTGAGGGGGCAGTTGTGGCTCAGGAGCTGTCGTCCTCCAGGGCCTGGGTCCTTCCTTCCACTTCACTCACTGTAATACCCCCCAGGGGCTGGTGGGCACCAAAATAAACCTGGCTCCATCTGCAGCGCAGCCCTGTGATCCTTCTGCCGAGGAAGCTGAGGGTGAGTGCGGGTCCAGGATAAGGAGGCTGAGGTTCCTGACCACATGCTGGCATGCTCCCAAACAAAGCACTTTGCTGTGCACTCCCTAGCAAGGGTGTTCTCCCCCTGTGCCACTCCTGCCATGCCATGTGATGAAAAATGCTCACATCTGCCTTCAGAGCGGGCCTTTGGGAAAATGGCCCTCTGAGAGAACTTGTATGCTGCCCCCCTCTCCCCACCCAAGTCAGTGGCATGGTGTGCCAAGCAGACGGGTGGAAAGCACTGCTGCTGCTGTGCGGGGGCAAGGCAGGTGGACTGGAGCAGGCGTCACCCCACCCACGCATGCCCAGTCCTGCCCTGCCTACAACTGCATGCACACGCTTGCACCTATGAAGGGCTCAGGCACATGCACATGTGACAGGGTTGCCAGGGGCTGTCTGTGTGGGGCTACCTGTAGGTGTGTTTGCTGCTGGTACCCACTAACAAGGGGCTTCTCTTGCCCCTATGTCTCTCCTTTGGCCCTGTGACCTTAGGCACTTCCCCCATTTGAGGGGCAGCACATGGCTGTTGCAAAGCCCCGGAGCTGCTGGCAGCCTGGCCGTGCACCCTGCTTCTGCTGCCCCCCAGGAACTATTTTTGGGCATCAGAGAGGGAAAGGCTGGAGCCAGATCTCCCCTGGCTCGGGGCAGGCTGGGCTCCTGCAGCCTCTTTTTCCACAGCCCCCTGCTCCTCCGAGAGGCTACCCAGGGTGTGTCTGAACAGCAGGGCTCAGAGGGGCCTCTCGGGGCCATGGCGGTCCCTGGGTTATCACCTCCCGTGAGCCTTGTGCTTGGAAGTCAGTGGCTGTTTGTTCCCAGTGACACCCTGGGGCTGTTTCCATGGCATCTTCAGGCCCTGAACCACTGCGCTAAAGTCCAAATTCCAGCGAGCTGGTTGCTGAGGGGAGCAGAGCTGGCATGAACAGTGCCAGGCACTTTCCTCACGGGAGAGGGCTCTGGTTTTCCCATGTGCATGCCAGGCTCCGCTCTCGGGCCCAGGGGACAGGCTGCCTGCACAGTCCATGTGCCAGGAGAAGGGGAGCGGGGGCTAGGCGGGGAGCTGGCCCACTTGCTCGGCTCATCGTTGCTCAGAACCTGCCCCGACTTTGACCTGACCAGTAGTCCCCAGTAGTCCTCTCCTGCACCTGACCAGTAGTCCCACCCTTAAGGACCTCCAGCCCTGCCTAGAAAATGATGACCATCTCAAGATAGCCATGAGAGATGAGCCTGTCTGGGCGTATAGGCAGCCCCGAACCTCAAACAGTGTCTCTGCAGCCACAGACCACCTCACTCCTCTTCTCACTGAGGCACCAGCCTTGCAATAGACCCAGATGCCAGCTGTGCCCCTTTGTCAGCATAGACTATGTCATCACTGGACCAAACATGACCTCTACCAATGTCATATAAGCCATCACCTGCTTGCAGGGCTTCTGTTGTACACTGGACAGCTGGGCAGTCCTTATGCGAGAGAAAGCACAGATACCGAGCTGACATCAGTTGCAGAAAGACTCGCAAGCCTGTGGCTGCGCGCTGTAACCTCCCTGGACCATCCAGCGCCGACCTCAGGTAGCTGTTCTTTGACAAGGAAACTTTAAAACCCAATGTGAATGCAAAACAGCACAACAAGAAATCCTCTGCAGGCTGGTGTGTGTGACGTGTGGTCTAAAAGCAGACTCTGGATTTTTATCACATTACCTGGATCAACTTTTATGGCCCCTACAGGAATACTGCCTTGTTTTCTTCTTCAGTCCACCTTTGCCTCTCAGCACTGCCCTCTCCTTCATCCCTCTCTGTCCTTTGTGTTTAACTCTCTCTCTCTGTGAGAACACCTGCTCCCTGCAGAAGTGAGCGGCTGCTTATGAAAGCGTATGCACCTGAATTAGTCTAAAAAGTGCAACTCTCCTATGTCTTCTGCCTGACTTCAGACTAACATACTCTTGCTGGTCCCAAACCATATTCTGCGGTGGGAGGAGTAGGGGCTGGTGGGTTAAAGCAGTAAGAGCTGGGCACCAGGCCTGTCCAGCTCCAGGAGAAGTCTGGGGTCTGGTGGGTTAGAGGGGCTGGGAGCCAGGCTCTTGTTTTGGGCAGGTAGTTTGTGTAGTGGTTAGAGCTGGGGACCGGGACTCAGTTCCTGATCTTGCTACCAGCTCCCAGTCTGCTTGATGCAGCACGTTACTACACTGAGCCTCAGGTGGCCTTGCAAAATAGCATGGCCTGCCTCTCTGGGCTCCTGTGACAGCCAAGGCATGCGGGGCACTCAGCTCCTGCCTTGTGAGATCCTAGCCATGTGGCATCCGGGGCGCTGTGCGATCCTAACCCACAGGCACCAGCTGCAGTCGGGGGGTGCAGTCTCTGGCTGCCAGTGTAGGCGCAGGGTGCCCTATATCCTCTGCTGAGGCAGATCTCCAGTCCTGCTGCTGGGACTGATCGGCCAAGGTCTTACAGATAATGGCATTAATGGTTAGCGGTTTATGGTTGGCACGAACTCTCCCAGCATGAAGTGGCCCCAGGCTCCTGCTGCCAAGACAGCAGCCAGGCCCACAGAACAGCAGCTCCTGGCGAGGCGCAAGCCTGGTGCCCACAGACACCCCGGCTGCCAGCACAGCGGCTCTACCAGGGGCCTCCAGAGCTACTAGGGGCTGCTGCTGCAGCTGGAACTAAGGGCCAGGGCCTGCGGGCAGGACTGGAAGAGGCACCAGTTTGTTGGACCAGGGTGGAGAAGGTCATGCCTGACCTAGGCTGGCACCAACTGAGGGGAGCTCAGCTCAGTCTGGCGAAATGGTGGTGCCTCGGGCACAGGAGCACTGTGGGCAGAGGCCTTGTCTCCCATTTGCCCAGCGCTGCCCCAGGCCACTGCATGGGGGAAGGCTGCGGCACAGCCCCGTGGCTGCAGTCCCTGGACTCCTTCACCTTGTTCCTCAGGGAAGGCCCAACTGGAGGCATCTGTCCCCCCATTCTGGACACAGCAGCACTGGGCCATACCCCCACTGGCCCAGAGGCAGGAGGAGGAAGCTGCCTGTCCCCTGAACCTGCAGGGGAGGCAGGTTTGGCCCAGTGCTGCTGTGTCCAGAATGGGGGGACATGACATTGCACCCGTGGGGAGCGGTTGCAGGGAGGTGCCCAGCGGCTGAGTTGTGACCAAGGCCCATCCCGCATCCACCCCCAGCGCACCGACTCCTGCAGTGCTGTTGGCTCCCCTTGCCCCTAGCCTCCCTGCAGGTGGATGGGGTGGGGAGAGAACCGGGAGGGCAGGCAGACTGGGATGCTGCTGGCTGCAATGGTGTTGGTTGGGTTGCCTGTGGGCACTGCCCCAGAGGCCTTGAGCATGGAGGACCAGTTACTTCCTGGCACTGCACGGCCCATCCCATGGCTCAGCCCAGTGTGCAAGCAGTGTCCCGGCTGCCACAGACCGGGGTGGGAATCTCCGCTGCGGCTGCCAGACTGACAGGTGCCAGGTTCCCTCAGACACGCACAGGCCCCAGAAAATCCTTGGGAGCTTTAGCTCACAGCCGAACACCCTGCACGGGTGCCCCTGAGCCCTGGCCTGGATCTTGTGCTGGCACAGTGGGCCCTGTGTTGTGCCACGCTGAAGTCGTAGCAACCCGCGGTGCTGGCAGGGAACATGCAATTGCCTCTTTTCCCATGCCGCGCTCTGTCAGCGCCTCCGAAGAGGTAAAGACAGCTAGGTGCCCTGGTGCCTTTAAGACCAGTGTTGGCATCGGCTCCCCTGAGCAGGACGAGCCGGCTGGTGGGCTGTCCCAGGGAAACCTTCGGTGCAGGGCGGGGGCAGCTTATCGGGAAGGAGCGCTGCCCTTTGAGTTCAGGTTCAGTGTCGAGCGAGCGAGCAGCCCTGCCCGCCTGCTGCTGCCGCACAGAGGCAGTACCAGACCCCCGGCGGGCGCTCAGCAAGCCAGGCACCATGGCCCCCCTGCAAGCTGCTCTCCTGCTGTTGCTCCTCGCCGCCTCTTCGCAAGCCCAGGACGGTAGGGGCTGTGCCCCACTCCCTGCCTGAGACCGGGGGAGTGTGTGTGGGTGTGTTTGGGGGGGCGCACAGGGAAAAGAGGAGTGTTGGGTGGGGGGCCCCAGGGTTGATTTAGGGGGTCTCAGGTGCCAGCCCATACCACACCTGGGTCCTGACCAGCACCAACCCCCTTGGGAAGTTCCCCTGGGGATGGGGTCTGCTCACAGGCTCACAGTGATCCGGCTAGCTGTGCAGGGCAAGCCTGCAGACTGCTGGGGGAACCTGGAGGAGACCCTCCTGGTCCCCAGCAAGACCAGCACCCCCGGTGCCCTCTGCCCCACTCTCTCGTTCTGCTCTGGGGGCCCACAAACCAGCATGCACCCCACAGCTTCTGGAACGAGATTTGGGAAATCCAACCAAAATCTCTAAGGCCCAAGCCAAGCGTCCCAGCAGTTCTGTTTCACAGGAAACTGCAAAATATCTGCTTTTGCACCAAATCACAATGGAAGAAGATTGGGCCACGCCAAGATCCAGGATGCCAGGTTTCACCCTGTTCTCCCTGGTGGGGTGCAGAGCTCTGTTGGTGGCATCTAGCTGGGTTGTTTGCAGTAGCCACGACCTGGCGGGTGCAGGCTGTTGTCCTTAACTTGCGGCTGCTGTACAGAGAACACGGCTCCTTGTAGATCTCTGACATAAAGGCCATGTCCTCATCAATGAGTACCTTGGTGGGGCAGCCACAGGGTTGGACAGACATAACACAGGATGTTGCGCTGGCTGTGACCTCCCTGGTGAGCCCCGGGCCTCAGATTTCGGTGGAGTGACCCACCGTGCTAAGGATGTAGGATTGCTCTAACTGCTTGCCGTTTAGTTCTGCCAGCTCCATAGGTCCCTGCTGGGTGGATAAGCCCAGCTCCTGCTCCTGCTCCTGCTCCTGCTCCTGCTCCTTGGGTTCCTTCTACAGGGCGGACGAGACAGTCATGGCACTACTGTTGCACAGTTCGGGGCAGTCCCACTCCGTAGGACCCCTGTGGCTGTTCAGCTCAGTCCTGTTGGTGCCAGTATAGCCTACAGCGTTGATCAAGGCTGGCTTGGAGCATCATCTGGGCTGTGGTTGGGACCATACAATCTGGGTGACCTGCCATGCATTCTGGGTCCCTGTCCTAGTGTACCAACTTGTCTCCTAATTGAATAGATGGCCCCATTGCCCGAGCAGCCAGGTGGTATCATGGGGCAGAGTGCCCTGGTCAAGGGAGAGCATACAGCGTGGCGTGGGATGATGGCTAATGCTTCTGGAATGACAGAGGTCTCCATCCTCCTCAAGGGCTCTTTGCTGCATGGTGAGGGACAGCAGCCTCTACCCCACAGTCTGAGATGGCTTTGGATCTCATTTGTTCAGCTTGCCGTGTATCCACAGCCACCCTGTCCTGGCCAGATCAGAATTGCAGAGCTGGAAGCTGGCTTTTATGCCCAGCACTGGTCCCTGGCGCCACAGGAACCTTGTCATCTGCTGGGCATTGTTGTCTGTGAGAGGTGGCATCTGGCCAGGTAGCTCCTCTACTGCTGGCAAGGGCCCAGCTCAGGGCCAAGAGCTGTAGCTGGAAGCAGCTGTGGTGTTTATCATTCTGTCTTGCTCCTTCAGTCCTTGGCCAGTGCTTACCGTCACCCACGCCTGCCTGTCCTGGTCACCATCATCAGTGTGCACCTTGAACAGGTGGGTGGGATCGGGGTCAGCTTGTGGCAGGGTCTTTGCCATGGCAGATGCTGGGGACTCAGCAGTGTCCCAACTCTCCCTGCAGCTAAGGCTTAAAAGCCCCCATTGCAGGGTGTAGAGGGGTACAGTGAGGGTGGGAAGGGCCTCTGGTATCCTGCGCAGTCCTGGCACCTCTGCAGGCTTTGTCGGGACTAGAGCTGGGGAGCAAGTTTGGAGGAAAACTTTTGGTGAAAAGTGCAGCTTCGGTGATGATGACCAGCCGTTGGACAGATCTGTCTCCGTTTAGCCAAACTGTGCAAGTAAGAGAAAGAATGGGAAAGGTGGAACTTCCTGTTTTAGGGACTGGAAACAATTTCTCAGTTTGAAACATCTCATTTCAAACTTCCCTGCCGTCCCAAAAAGCTGGTTCGTTCCATCCAACACAAAGCCGCCTCAGCTTGATGAGTCTTGCTTAGAAGAATTCTCCTGGGGCCATTCTGGACAATGCTTTTGGGCCTTGGCAGTGACCTGAAAAAGCAGAAACTGCCTGATACTGGCCATGACACCCTGAATCTTCTCTGCTGCCATGGGATGGCCCCTTACTCCTCCAGCGGGGCACAGGGAAAGGTTTGGTTTTCAGTCCATGCTGGTTGAGTGGGTGATCTGAACACCAGCCTCACATCCCAGCATCACGTCCTCCCCACCAGGCCATTCTGGTGGGAGTGAGGGTTGGTTATAGGGGTGAGGGGTGCAACCTCTCCTGGTGAAGCTATCCTACATGTCTGAGTCTTTATGCAACATGGAAGAGCTTCAACAAGAGGAGAGTTTTCCTGGGCTGCGTGAGACCTGTATGGAAGTCCTTGCTTTAAGTAAGGGAGGGGACAGTCTCAAGCATGGGAGTGCTGAGTGCTGTAACCACCAGGCTGTTGGTACAGACACACAATGCCTTGGTCAGGTCCAGGCTGGTAGGTCTGTGTTGGTTTATCTGCCCTTCCCTTGCAGGGGCAGCCGAGACCTATGAGTGCTGGAGAACATCCATGCCCTTTACAATGGGCATTGCTGTTTGTACAGCTAACGACAATCCCCTGCTGGTGTGTCTTGGAGCCCAGCCCCATGCACCTTTGGAAGGGTTTGCTAAGTCCTGTGGCTGCGAAGGCTGGAAAAATTTCCCCCGATGGATAAAGAATCACCAGGGAACCAGTGTCCAGTACGGCCCCAGTCTGCCATTGCTGAGGCTAGCAGGAACCAGGGGCTCTTGGCAGTGAATCCAGGCTGGTCCTACTCAGACAGTGGAGCCAGAAGTTGTCCCGCTAGGTTTGGTCCTGAACCCTGAGTCTGTGGGGTGGGGACCATCTCCTCCCTTCTGGAGCATCAAGTCAAGGCTGGTGGTGAATGCTCTAGGAGTCTCAATGGGTTTTTGAGGGTAGAAATAAAAAGTCTGTCTTTTCTGGAAGGAGAGATGTCCAAGGGTGACTCCCAGGCACCACCAAGCCCTCCAGCCCTGGGCTCTTGGTTGGCCATGTCTGCCTGTCCTCAGGGACCATGCCACGCTGCTCAGCAGAGCTCCCTTCCCAGTGCTGGGGGCACAGGACAGCTGAGAGTCTGACTGCAGCCCCTCCCGGCCCCCCTGTGCTGTGCCCAAGCCCCAGGAAAGGCTTGGCTGAAGTCCTGATCTACAGGGCCCCAGTAGCTCCAGCTGCTGGGGGAGGCCATGACGTGGCCCAGGGACCCTGTCTGCAAGCCTCAAGTCCTGTTTGAACTGCTGCTTTCAGGGGGCAAAGGGATCTCCCGTCCTGAGTCATGCGCTTCTAACTAGGCATCACCCCCTCTGCCTGGGGAGGCAGGAGTTAACCCTGGGCACTGGCACCACCAAACAGTGCCAGGAACGAAGGCAGGGACTGACCCCCTCTCAGGGCTGTGCCAGGCAGTACCCCTTCCCCCACAGAGACTAAGGCATCTACCTGTGCCCTAGGGCCCCAGCAGCCCAGTCCAGCCCAGCCCAGCCCAAATGCCCTGCACCACTGCAAGCCTGCTCCTCTGAGACCAACTGGGTAGGTCCAGCACCCCGCCCCCCCAGCCCCCTTGTGCCCTGACCAGCCTCTCCCCCTTTAGTGACAGGCACCCCTTCCAGTGAAAGTCAGATCATGGTCTCCTTGTCTCTGGGGTGACTCCCTTCTCCCAGGGAAAGCCCTTGCCCATCACCTACCCCTGGATAGGGGGGAGGCCGGCTGGGCCATCCAAAGCCACAGAGCTTGGGGTAGGGGCTGTGCTCACCCCCACAAGGGTCTGAACTGCCCTGTCCCTGCCCAGGGAGCTTTATGGAGTCTCCTGAGCCCAGCACTAGCCTGGTGGCCTCCCTGCTGCACTCTGCCAGTGCCTTTAGGGAGCTGACTGTGTTGGGGATGGACCTGCCAGGCTGGCAGGAGCACACGGAGCTCCGGGATGCTGGAGGGAACCTGGGGCAAGCAGCAGTCTTGGGGAAGGCTGGTCCCTCCAGGCCTGGGCTCAGGCTTGTGGCTGGAACTGGAGGCTGGCTGCCCCGATGCTGGGGCTGGCTAGGGAGCCCCCCAATGCCAGCGGGCCCTATACCTGTGAGAGGATTGGGCCCTCTCCTGAAATGACCCCTCTTCTTTTGGCTTGGCAGGGGCTATGAAGGGCACTACGTCAGGCTCCCATGAGCTGCAGCCCTGGCTGGTGGGCCTGACGGCCGTCGTGGTCTTCCTCTTCATCGTCTTCCTGCTGATGATCATCAACAGAGTCTTGTGCTATAAGAAGCACAGGTGGGCTCTTGCCTGTCCCCCTGGGCTGCCGAAGGGATTGTCCCCTTTACCGTGGCCCTATCGTGCTTGGTCCTGAGCACCCTCTTGTGCTGCTTCTTTCCCTGTCCCCCATTTGCCTTCTCTTTGCCACTGCTTTCATAGTGACTTGCACTGCAGATCTGGTGCAGACAGGGCTGTGCTGACTGTGCTCTGAGCTTGCACAGTTTTTATGGAGAGACAAAAATGCCTTGCATATGGCTCAGGCTGGAAATGGGAACCAGGACTCCTGGGTTCCTCTCCGAGGGCTGGGAGGGGAGGATAGCTTCGGTTCCTGCCTGGCTGAAGGGGAGACGGGTGGTGTGAGCACTGGGGGCTCAGGCAGTGTCTAAAGCAGTGACACCTCTGCGCCAGTGCAGGAACAGGCAGCTCCAGAAAATGGCTATGCCCTTGTATGAATGCATCATCCTGGGCCCCAAAAGAGACCTGGCTTTAGCCTCTGACCTCCTTGGCACAAGTGGATGCAGGATTTTGCAAAGCCGGGGAGAAGGGCTGGGGGGTGGGGAGGCAGTGACTGGTGCTCCGTGGCAGCTGCACCCCTTCCCTACCTTCCCCTCCTCCCCGCTGAACCAGGACAGGCAGACCATGCTGCAGGAGCAGCGGGCAGGGGCTTTATTAGCTACGCAAGGCAAGTAGAAATTTGCCTCCTACCCAGAGGCTTGTCCCCCTCCACTTGCTGCTGTCACTGCCGTCCCCAGAGCCAGCGGAGCTCCAGAGTCACTTCTGCCCAGCTCCAGCTGGGCTGCACTGGGCAGGCTCAGCCTGGGACAGCAGCAGTGGTGGCCACATTCCCTCTCCCTACATCTTTGCCTTGGGCTGACAGAAGGCCAGGGAGGACTGGGGAAAGGAGGAGAGGGGACGTGTCTCTGAGCATGGAGGGAAATATTTTACCTGCTTTGGGGACTTAAAAAAGTCCCCGGCTGCTGCTCCTGCTGCATGGTGAGAAATGGGGATGTGGCCATGCCCCAGCAGCATCCCTTCTGGATCTGCCTCTGCTCCTGGGTGATGGCAGCAAGGAGAGGGGCCCGGGCATGCGGGTTCTCCAGAGGGCTCTGCTTGGCAGCCTCTGGGAGGTCTCTGTTGGAGCTGTTCCCAGGCTCTGCAGAGTCAGGGGTACTGGCTGTTTGGTGCCTGAGCCAAAGCCTGTGGCTGGGGTGTACAGCCCCGCGGAGCTTTGCTGACTCTCTGCTTCCCTGCTTTTCTCCCAGGGACGAGGAGGATACCCAGGGACACCAGGCTGATGCCAGGTAATGCCTCCCCTCTATGGCTGTGGCCCTCCCATGGGGCTACTCTGAGGGCAGTGCCCAGTGCACCAGGATCCCTCCAGCTCCATTGTGCCCCTTGACTGTGGTGAGGGCAGAGCTGAGCAGGTACAAGCTCCCTGGCTGTTCCCATCAGCTTGGCCAAGGGGGCAGCCCAGGAGCCTGGGACCATGCTTATGGTTCTGCTGCATGGCTTTGGACAGGTCCCTGATCTTTCTGTGCCTTGATTTCCCCAACAACAAAAGATAAGCAGGTTTCCTATAGGCTGGATCACTGCACTGTGGAGTCCACGTTGCAGTGCAGGAGGGGTGCACATGCCCAGCACGAGCCCTGGAGAGGCTATGGCAAGCAGGGAGGGAGTCAGCACTTGGGGCTGTGGCTTAGCAAGCGGCAAAGCTCGGTGCTGTTCCCTTGCCTTCCTGTAAGCCACCAGGCCCATGTCCCAGCCACACCATGGTGAGAAGAGCAGCCAGCTCCCACCTAGAGCTTTTCTGCCATCCACCTCAAAGCACTTCATGGCAGCCAGCAGCACTAGCCCCCGCACAGGCTCCCAGCCCATGAGAGGGCTGCAGATCCCTGTTCTCCCCCATCCCAGGCGGCACCCTAGCCTTCTCAGTGCACAAAGAGACCACAAATACTCAGATACAACCACAGGGCAGCACCTAGGCTTGTAATGCCTACCTAGAGACCCACAAGACTCAGCAGTCCTCCAAGAGCCCCGCTGTGTTGGGTGGAGCCCTGAAAAATGGGTTTGCACCACCAGCTTTCTTAGCAGCGGGTGACACAAATCTTCCTATGACAGGAGGCCCCCGAGGCCAGGACCCTGTGTAGCAGCCCCTGCACAGCTGCCGAGTGAGGGGCTGCACCTGCCTCCACAGCTCACGCCTGGCAGCTGCATCCACAGGGAACATGGGGCATCCATGACACACGTGAAGTAACACACGGGAAAGCACCAGTGCAGATGAGCTCTTACAGAGCCGGTCAAGGGGAGCTCCAGAGGCAGCCAGGGCAGCCAGCTCACCAGGAGACCCTTTGGTGTCCAGCCAGATAGAAAACATGTTAATGAACATATTAATGAGCATGTGTTAAAAATGCCCCTTATGAAGCCAGGGCCTGAGTAGACACAGCCCTGGAGGCATCCCCGTCCCTGCGCAGAGCTGCCCGGTGACGCTGTGCCCTCTCTCTCTCTCCCCAGTCCTGGCAGGCTCACCGCCAATGGCTATGAGAACGAGGCGCTGCAGGAGCAGCTGGAGGAGCAGGAGAAAGGGGCGAAGGGGAACAAAACCACCTCTCTGTGAGGGTGTGCTGCCCCGCTGGAGCTTGCTGCACCGATCTGCCCTGGACACACCTGCTTTGAGACAAACCAGTCGGCTCTTGGCTGCCTAGCTCGGCCCAAGGAGTCTCCTGCCCGCGTCAGGCCCTGCTTGTATGCGCCACTGCCCCAGCTACAACAGCACCACGGGCTGCTCTAGGCTGCCGCATCACGTCTTGCTCCACGCCGGTGCTCTCTGCTCAGTGCCCCCCAGGGCCTCCAGGTATTAACCTGTGACCTGCACTGCTGTGCCTGGTGTCATTTATTACGTGTCCCAAGAGTTCACGTTGTAGTGGCCTCCCTCGAATCACTGAGTGCGGCTTGTAGCTCCGTGGTGGGCCGGGGCTTAACCTAACAACCAGGTCATGAGAGTTCCCAGAGGCAACTCCCCTGGGACAAAACACAGCCAAACTTGACTCCGGGGGCCCCCAGTGCATGCCCCAAGCCCCTGGCCAGGACTGGAAGGGAGGAGGAACAGCGGGCCAGCTCAGCCCACACTCCTGCCCCCCTGCAACGCACAGGTGCTGTGCTCACCTAGGACCCAGTCCAGTGAGAGCAGAAATCCAATCCAGACTTTACTGTGGCCAGCAGCAGGGGATCCCTGTGCTTTGAGCAGGCAGGTAGAGGGTCCCCCTTGTCCCTGGGGTTGCAGCAGGGAAGGACCTGGCCTGGATTTCCATGCCCACCTGGAACGGGTGCAGGCCTGAGGAGGGGCAGAGCCAAGGATCACTGTGGCATCCAGCACTGTGTGCCAACCCAGCGTCACCTGCTGCACACGGAGGGGCTACAACAGCCCTGCGGAGGCTGCTTTCGGGGGTCCGGCTCTCCCCAGGACAGGCTGAATCAGCCCTAGCACTGACCCCCACCTACAGGGCAGGGGTGCAGGGGCTCTGCAGAGTGGGGACTGGTCAGGGCCAGCCCCTGCAGGAGGTAGCTGGGCTTGGTGCTGCTACAGGCTGAGA